TTAATGATATATGAGTTTTTCCATCTAGACCCAAGTCCAGGCCCAAGTCCAGTGCCATCTAATTGATTTTCTAGACTCGCCCGCTTGACAGTTGCATGGGACAAGTTGAGGCTCGCTCGCTGCCTTTGACATGTTACGCTGATGTGTGTGTGTGCGTGTGTGTGTGTGTGTGTTTATAAAGTCATTACCAGGTGGCAGTTGAGACCCGCGACCCTTACCTAAAATAATACTAATAATAGATTCCACAAAAACCCTATAGATCTCTAGCCGCACAACATGACAATGTCGGCTTTTTAATTTATTGATTTTTCTGCAATTTCATTTAATTACAAAAAAGGCATTAGAAAAAAAAGTTAATTTCTACAAATTTTCACTCGGCAGGCGCCAAAGCAGGCTTTGCGGCAGCGAGGGCAGGGCAGGGGGCAGTGTGTGTGTGTGGGGGGGGGGGTGCAATTGGCAACGTCATGGCACAGGTTCAGGCCGCAAACCCGCTGAGACTCATCCACTAGCTCATTGCCCAATGGGCTCCACAAACACACACACACACAAACACACACACACCGGCACACACACGTGGCAATTGCTGCAGCACGTGCCGCATAATGTTGCAAGTGTTGCCGGTGTTTGCCCATTTACCGTTAGGGGCCAAAACACTCTTTGCCTGGTCATGTTCGGGTTAATGATTGGGGCGTGGCAGCGGCGCGTTGATTGCCCAGTTCAGTTTGTAAATGTCATCCCCAGCAGCAGCAGCACAAAGTGTGCCAAAGGCAAACACCAAAAGCAAAGAACAAGCGAAGTTGCAAGTTGAAAGGAAGAAGCGACTGGACTAAAATTAGATACTTGGAAATATTTGTAGAATATCGGCTTTGTAGGGATAGTACTCCAAGGAAGAGTTTCAAATTTTGGGCGCAAAAGGGCCTTATAACATATTAAACTCATATATATCGAAATAACAATACGCCCACAGATATAAATTAGAAACTTGTACTTAAAGCAAGTACAAACGTTGTCAAAGTTCATTTTGTAAATTGAAAAAAAAAAAAGTTCTTTAAAAAACTGTGGTTAAATTCTCGACATTACTAAATAAAATATTGAAATTTTGAAAAGGCCATGCAGACTAGTGCCAAAGCGTACACTTATGTGAAGTTGTTGTTGCTGAAGTTTTTCATATAAATTTTGACTAACGTATAGCTTTAATTGGAGACATAGTGTTTCGAAACCCCGTCGTAGTTGTCACATTCGATTTAAAAGAAAACTTATGTCAAACTCATGTCTTAAATCTTCATACAAAATATCAACCCAAAACTCTTGATTAAAACTCTTAAGCAAATAGCAACTTAGTAGAGAACAAAATTTTAGCTTGACCAAATTCTTGAGTATTTAAATCAAAGTTCGATGTAAAATTTACCACCAGTTCATAAATAAGCCGAACTGGAACTACTTTTATTAAAGTGGCTAAACTAAGCTGCAGATATAGGCTAAGTTTCCACAGCTTACGACCATTTACGGCTCGAGTTCATAAATCAATGGACGAAACGAAGCAACCCCCAATTAAGTGCCTCAAATATTTACAAACGCCCCAAAAATTATATATTTTGTCGCTCTTTTGTAGCGCCTTCTGACATTTAACCTCAAGACAAGCGCCGCCCGCGCCCCAACTGTCTTGTCGCCTGCCAGCGCTGATTTGTGGATGTGTGGGGCGTGGAGTGCGAGGGGGAGGGGGGGGAGGAGAACTTTCAGACACATTCACAGCTGCTCCCCATGATGTGCGAGGGGCCAATGTCGCAGCATTCATTTACATTCAAATTAAAATGAAAACGCCAAAAGGAAAGACGGAAAGACACACACACACACACACACCGCAATTTATGCCAAGGGAGTAGCACCCGCAGCCAACATCCCTCTCTTCCTCCCTCTCCCATCTATCTCCCTCCTCTCTGTCTGTTTTTCAAATGAGTTTTGTTTGTTTTGACACTGGAGAGCTACTACATGGATCTTTTGGCGGCCTTGCTTATAAATTAGCTACGACATTTTGACATGTGCGCATAGAGTATTATGTGCCTATTATTTGTATACCCTTGTGGAGGGTATTATAAGTTTTTTAAGCAATATGTAACGCATAGAAGGAGACATCTCCGAGCTTATAAAGTATATATATTCTAGATCAGCATCAACAGGCGAGTAGATATAGCCAGATCTCTCCGTCTGTCCATCCGTCTGTCTGTTTCAATGCAAACTACTCTCACAGTTTTAAAGCTAGTTCTGTTTTTCTGTGGCAGGCAGTTCATATGTCGGAAACACCCGGATCGGACCACTATATCATATAGCTGCCATAAGAAGAAACGGTGTGAAAAGTCGGCTCTTGTAAAGCAACTTTTTTTTGTTAAAATATCTTATCCAAGCTTAGCATGGTAAAAAGCATTCCCTATATATGAAGAATATCTTATTATCATCGGATACAGCTAACAGGAACGATCGGTCAAAAACTAGGTTTTTGTTTATCAAGATATCCTTAGCAAACTCGGCATTTATAGGTTTCAGTATGCTTCCTACATATGTAACATCTGATCAAAATTGGGCAACTATATCATAAACCTGCCATAGGGAAGATCAGTCGAAAAATACTTTCTTATCTTCCAAAAATCTTCTGGTTTCCAAGATACATTCATCAAGCCTAACTATGCTCACATATCTGCAAAAGCCAAAAGTCTACAAGGGTATTCAACCTTCGGCTAGCTGTAGATATCGTCACTTTCTCGTTTTTATACCCTGTTTTTCTGTTTGGCTAGCTCCTGTAAAGATCGTTCGCTAGCTGATAGCCTAATGTTTGTTTAGTTACTTTTTCTGATTATTTTGTAATTAGTCGAGAGACAAGCCACAGATCGGCATTAGCTGATAGGGGCGGGCACTTAAATGTAACTAAATTCGGGGTTCACGCTAGGTGCCAGATAGACAAATGTCGATAGCACCTTTAGCTAATTTTTACATGCACATAATTTGGCCTTTTTTTCAATAACTGCCCAAGATAATTATAGAAAGTGTTTTGTTTTTTCGGTTGAGATCTTTATCCTTGTGCACATTAAAAGTTAATTTCTTTATAATTGTTGAAGGTTTTCCTGCTGTTGTCTATTTTTATATAGTTATCAAATGTGCGGCATGTCATTTATTTTGCTTAAGTGGCCGCAAATTGAAGTAGTTCATGCTCAAGATTTATTTGGAATATTATTTTGTTGGGCTGAACAAACTTTCAATAACATTTGGCTACGCTTGGCCCCAGCAACAAGACAAGAACCCGCAGAGACAGCAGCATTCATCTCGGCACAGTCGCCGTCAGCAGTCTGCGTATCAATCGAATTCTCTGGCCAACGAGTTTACTCAAAAGAAACAAAAGAGGAATTTCACTTTGAGTGACCATGAAAATGCATTCGTTAAACAGTTTTCGCCCCAGCTACATTCCCTCTGCCTTGCTTTCAATTTGTGCTGCCGGAACGCCTCGCTGCCAACTGAGGAATTACGCCTATGCCTAGGCCTAGTCCTAGGGCTGTGTCTGTGCCTGTGGGGCAAGGATCCCGCCGCACGCACTGGCAGGATGTGCCGAGTGTGCGGTGTGACGAAGCAAGTGCAGACGTGTCAGAAATTCCCACTTTGTGCGCACACAGGATATTTGCCTAGTTGCAGTCAAGTGTTTTTTTTTTCAAAATGTAATTTAAGCGGCATGTTGAAAATTAACAGATGAGAAATTAAAAGGATTTTTTAGAGCTGGAAATGTGTGAAGTTTTTGTGTAGTCGACTCTTAGTTAAGAGTTTCAATTGTTAAATCTAGCGAACATCCAGTCCTAATTGGAATTTGTTGTGCCTGTCCGCAGCAGCTGCTTGCTATTCATAATGTGAATAACTTTTGCGGGTAGGTTTTGGTAGCCGAGCTGGGCAACGCCGGGCATTTTCTTCTTGTAAAGCTTATACTTGCAAACTAATGCTTTATTTGAAAAGAGTTTTTACTAATACGAGCTTAAATTTGTTGCTTCGCATATTTACTTTTCATTAAATATAAATTTTTTTCCCCCTTAAAGTTCAAATAATAAGAAAAGGTTTATTGTGATTCAAGTACTTACCTTTTATTTTAATATTTTGTTCATTAAATAATAATAATAAATTAATAATTAAAAATAAATAAATTGATATATTTAATAAAAAATTCTTAAATTTTTGTTCTTCCCATAAAGTTTAAATAATAAGAAAACGTTTTTTGCTCACATTTATTTTAAACTGTTTTTTTTTTCAAAGTTCAAATAATATCAAAAAACCTGATTTTGTTTTAATTATTTATTTATTTTTTATTCTATTACTTTTGTTAACTATTATTTTGTATCATTTAAAATTAAAAAAATAAGAAAACGTTTATTTTTTGGTTCACATAGTTACTTTTTATTGTTTATTTTTTTGTTTAATAAATTTTCTTTAAATATTTTTTTTTGTTTGTTCACACTGAATAAACATATATTATTATAATTTTTTTTTTGATTTTTGTTTTTTCAAATTTTTTTGTTGAAACTTAAACGTAAATTTTCATATAAATAAAACTAACTGAAGCGTCTATGAATTTATGTTAATACTATGAATATATTATTATTATATATTTCTTTATATATATTTATAGGGTTTATAGCATAACTAACATTTGTTGTTTACAAAGTTGAAGCAGCTTTAAATTTTTTTCATTAATTGTTAATAATTTTTATTAGTTTTTCTTTTGTTGAGAATTTTGTTTAAACTTTACACTGAGATGAGTTTTCGAACAACATATAAACGCTTTTTACAATAATTTCTAAGCTAATGTACAAAATTTTCTAAACTTTTGTAAACTGTACACGGGTTGAAATTTTTGAAATTTTGTACAACAAAAATGCAAGAGAGCGAGTGAGAGAGAAGGAGAACAGGGAGAGAGCGAGCTAATGCATAACAAATAATTTACAACATTTACTTAGTTGGTTTTCTTTTCGTTTTTGTTTTTTTTTTTTTTTGGATTAATACTGTTTTTTCCTGGGTCCAACGTGCGCTTAGTGGGCGGGGCTGCGCGAGGCGGACGCCGACGGCGAGCCCGCTGCTGCCGAGTGCGTCGACTGCGGCGGCGGCTGCGCTGCCTGCTGCGCGGTCAACTGATACGGGCTGAAGCGCTGATATTGACGCGGTCGCATATCGGGCGACGGTGATCCCGACGAGGTGGACGAGGGCGTTGACGCTGTCGGCGGCGGCGGGGGTGTGCGATTGGCGGCCATTGCGGCAGCCGCGGCGGCCTGCGCTTGCGCCTGCGCCTGTGCGGCGGCCTGGGCAGCGGCCGCCTGCTGATTGGCGCTGGCCAAAAAGCCGGCGGTCAGCTGCGGCCATTGCTGCTGGAACATGTGAAAGGCGCCCAGGCCGGGCGGCGGTGGCGCCGCCGCTGCCGCCTGATACATCTGGGGCATCATCAGCTGCGCGTAGGGGGAGTTGCCGCCGAACATTTGCAGATGCTGGCGCGCCTTCTCGAAGAGCGCCATCGAGGCGGGATCGGCGGCGCCCTGCTGGGCAAACTGTTGCATCAACGGATCGGGAAAGAGGCGCAACGGTGAGCGCAGCTGCTGCTCCAGCAGCAGCGCCTCCATCGGATCCCGATCGAAGTCCGTCAGGCGGGACGAGTCGCGAAAGCCCTTGGCGAACGGATTCGAATCGATTTTCAATTTGGTTATCAGCTGATTCTGATACGCGGTGACCGCCGTAAACACCGTCTCCGGGAACACGTAGGTTTTGTGGTCGAGATCCTGCAGCTCCTTCGGATTGCTGGGTATGCTCTGGCCATGCGACAAGCGCACCAGGTGAATGCGCGGCTGATAGCGATGCATCGAGTTGAGCACAATCTAGAGAGAGGGCGAAATAAATTGAGTAGAATTGAACGTCAGTTGGATGTGTTTGAATGTTATGCAGAAAATATTAATGGGGTAGTCTATATAAAGTTATTAGCTTTAGTGCTTAGCGATATTTCTGTCGATTGATATTTTTATATATGTCAAATAATCATTTTGAACTCTAAAGTATTTAATACAGTTGTGGGAAGACCCCTACGGCACTTAGATATGTGCTTTGGTAATGAAAATCTGACTTAAGCAAGGTTTGCTTTTATTTCAATAACATTTTTGTGGTGAAGGGTTAGAAAACTGTTTAAATAAGTAATCAAAATAGTCGAAAAGAGTCTTCGAAAAACCCCCAATAAAAGGTTTCTTTTATATATTATAATATCTCTAATATATTATCCAACAACCTAATATGAGATTTCTTTTATATATTATTAAACAAACTAATATTAAATTGCTATTATATATTATCAAGAGAACTATTCAGAACTGAAATTTAATGCTAATATTGGGGGCATTCCTAAAACTATTTTTGGTTTTTTTATTGCTGATTTTTCAATATTGATAACTTTTAAATGGGAATACCCCCAAAATTTGAGTGTTACAAATTGAAAGCTTGAACCGAAATTCTTATGTGTGGAATGCCGCAAAGAAGTCGAAAATGTGTTTAAAAAAATATATCCATATATATTTTATGCGATTTTAAGGCTAAAAATGGCTAAGAAACCCAATTTTATGTTCAAATTATTTCTGCAACTGTTCTTAAGTTTTCTGCAGACCTCGCTACCCTCTTCTTTTGTATGTGACCAAGCAAACATTCTGAACCTGACACAATTATCAATCATTTAACACGCGTCTATCGCGCCCACAATCTCCGCCAAGTCGAAGAGATCTACCCCTCCGCCGCTTCGCCGCAACTGTGGGCACATCTCGCAACTCACCTGTCCGTTCTTATCCATTTCGTTATTAGTCAGCTTGACCTTCTCGAAGGAGATAACTTGTTTGCGCAGCGCCTCGCAGCTGAATGGGCTATCCGGATGGGAATAGAGACGGGCGGGCGGAGCTGGATCTGCCTTGCCAGCCACCAGCCAGGCGGACCGATGATATGCATAACGATAGCGCTTCGAGTCCATCGGTATTATATCCAGCAGCACCGCATAACGATCGGCAGGTTGGATCTGACGCAATGGCCCAGAGAACGAGACGCGCACCGTGGGGAACATGCGTCTGTAAGAGGAGAATCACAAGGAAAAAGAAACAGATTTTTATTTAAGGAATTTCAAATGATTTTTTCTTTATTTTCTTTTTTTTTTTGTATTATTAATTACGAGCTGGCAACTCTAGTAATGCTCTAATTTATAACCCTAGCTGGTTTGAGGGGGGGGGGAATATTATTATTATCCATTTTTTTTCTACTCCCTTTTTCTGTCTGCGAGCTGCTTTGACAAGTGCGCACAAAAGGCAAACTCTTTAGGGCTGGCATCCTGTGGCTTTAATGCGTTCTAAGCCTGCGTGTGACATAACCGGAGGACCGCCCTGATTGTCTGACTGTCTGTCTGACTGTCTGTCTGTGCATTCTAAGGTGTGATTTTTACAATATCATTAAACAGAGTTGTGTATGCGTGTGCGTGTGTCCTCTCCTCTCCTGGGCCCTTAACTAGCTCAGTCTGTGTGGTCAGCCGTGTGGGAGCCTCAGGTGTGGACAACCCGTGGTCATTGTAGCCTTGATTTCTGATTTCTTTCTGCCTCTCCTCCTCCTCTTGCCTGCTGACAAGAGGAACGCCCAAAAAAAAATAGGGAGAAAAATGCGGTTGACTTTGGGTTTGGCTCGTTTTTGCGTGTCGCCCGTGTTGCCCAGGTAGATCGAGCAAAATCTTTTGCAATTGTTGCCCGGGGACCGCACACGGTTTAATGTATGTCCTTTTGCTCGGCTTTTGTGCGAGCGAATGCATGAAATTTGTGTTGACATTGCAAAAATTTGACATGCTCGCAGCCAGTTTTGGACAACAAGTTCAAGAAGTGTGCGTGAAAGTGGATACAAATGGATGCCGGAGTGTGGAACCAAGCAGAAGTTAGAAATCGGAGTAGAAACTTAATATAAACTAGTTTTATGGTATATTTGAGGGCGTGGCGAATTTTCATTTTCTGATTGAATTTGGAATTCATTTTAAATATTGGAATATGTGGGAAAAAGAACTGTATTCTGGACTTAATCTGAGACGTAGTGCATATGATTGAACGTGATGGAAAGCGCTAGAAATTTTGTATCAAGAAAAGTTAATGCTGCTCAAAAAGTTTAAAAAGAAGTAAACATTTTGTGAGGATAAACGAGCCAGAGCTGGGACTGAAAATGGGGGTAAAAGATTATGATAGAATATGGTATAGAGTTTTATACAATGTCTGGTATTTTATTATTTAATTCTCTTGCAAAAAAAAATGCTAAAAATGGTGCTAAAAATGGCCGAAAGGAAGTTAGCTATTTCTAAGAACAACGCCGCCCGAGCAGGGACTAAACATGGGATTAATTATGTATGATAAAGTATGATATAGAAACTAAATATGGGCGTGATTGGCTGTGATGAAAGGAGACGTCTTTTATACACTGTCTATTATAGTTTTCATGTTATTCTTTTTTGAAAAAGAGACCTATAATGTAGCTGAGAAAGATTAAATAAGTTAAAGTGTAAGATAAAGACGCCCGAACAGGGACTTAAGATAGGATTGCTTGAATATGATATAGAGACGTGTTTTGATCATTTTCTTCTGCAAGCAAAATTAGAGATGGACTAAATATGGGTCTAATTGAATATTGTATGCAGACGATTTTGATACACTTTCTGTTATCATTTCATTTTATTCTTTTGAAAAAAAACCTTTTTATACTGCCCAAATAGATTTAAGGAACATAGAACAGGTAAAAGAAATGTGAACGTCGTTTGGACAAAAAAGTGTGATCCATGCTTTTTGCTGAATATGATGGAATATGATATAGATGCCTCTTTAGTACTAAAAAAGCTAATCTAAAGGTTTAAAGAAGTTAACATATTTTAAATCCTTTAACGTCACCCAATCCTGATTGGGCCAAGGAATACGAATGACATTTCTACTCTTTACCTTTGCTAAGCGCTGAAATACCTTTAATTATATGAAAATGCCACGAAGTGCGCTCCATAAAATCAATTACAATTGAAAGCCTCTCAAGTCTGGAGCAGTTTTCACTCCACACTGAGCTGGCTGCTGTTAAGTATAGCTGGCTGCCCTTTGCCAACTAGCAGGTTAACTAATGATTATTTCGGCTGATGCTTGATGCTTGATGCTTACCTGCCCGTTTTGGTGATGATCATTTCGGTGCCCAGCTCGTGAAAGCGATCCCAGAGCTCTTTGGTCTCCAGATGGCATTGCACCGGCTTCAGATCATCGCAATTGCACGAGCCGACAATCTTTGGTGCCTTCTGCACCGGCTCCGGCGTCAAACGCTCCTCGCTGTCCTCCGTGCCCGGCGATTGCGGCGGGGTTGAGCAGCGTCCTTGGCTGCTTGTCGAGCTGGTGTTCAGCTGGGATTCGGCGGCGGCGACGGCGACGGCGACGGCGCCATTGCGACTCTTGTGTGACACGCTGTTGTTGTTGTTGTTGTTGTTGTGACTGTGCTGCTGATGATGATGCTGCTGATGATGATGTTGGTGATGATGATGATGATGATGGTGGTTAAGGCGTCGCGCCTTGGCTGGCGGCTCCTCAGCATCGCTGCAGTCAACAACATCCACATCGACCTCATCCTCAACCGAAATGGGACCTGGGAAATGCAATTGGTTTTCTTTTTTTCGTTAGTTTGTGCAAAATTGAAAATTAACCGAATGTGGAAATTGAATGAAAGTATTATAATTATCAACAAAAAAAGACTGAGTCTATCTACCTCCATCTCCCTCCCTCTCTTCCTCTCTCTCTCTCTCTCTTCCCCCCTCTCTCTCTTGCTCATTCTCTTTAGCTGGCTGTGGCAGACACGCCGTCGTCACAATTTCCGCTGCGTTTCGTAAATTGGCTATTAAAACAAGTTAACAAAGTCGCTGCCAATTGCACTTTTTTTTTTTTTATTAATTCATTTTTTATTGCACCCAAAACAAGCCAAATGCAAGACTCAAGGCAAAAAAAAATGTGCATAAAGCAGCTGCCGTAGCTAATAAGCTCGGCTCATGCTCTACAAGCAGACAGACCTCTTCACCCCAGTCCGCTCCCCCCTCTAGCCACCTCTAGCCGCCGCCTCTGCCCAGCTGTTGGCTTTGCAAGCGCAAAATCAGCAAAAATTTCATTTGTTTTTGTTTTTGTTGCTTTTCTTTCTGCATATTATTTATGCACATTTTTGTTTAATAAATATTTGACTTTGTCGTCGCTGAGTTTTGCGCCTCGTTAAATTAATACAAATTTCTGGCTAATTAACATAATTTGCTGTTTGTTGAAAATTTTCAGTTTTTTTGCTTGTTTTAAGTTTTGTTTAATTGTTGCCTGTGTGCGACTCTTGATTATAGTTCGATTAACTGACTTCGCCCCTGACTTAGTTTTAATTGCCGTCGCTTGGCCGGGAAACAAGTTTTTCCTTTTGTTTTTGCTGCTGTCGACGGTCCACGTTAATTGTCTACAGTAATTAAATATCTTGTTTTTATTTGCTTAGCCTGTTGTCGCTATGCTTTTATTATTTTACTTTGTTACACTTTGATTTAAACACATTTTCTTTTATGCTTGTGCAATCTTTAAGCTCTTTCAAGTGCACTTTTGAGCTCCATTTGCATATCAAAAGTTCAATTTTTAATGCGACAGTAACAATATCTTGTGCCGACGGCTTTTGTAAATGATCTGTTAATTGATTTAAGTTCAGCTTTAAGTCAGTTTTAATTTTGATTTGATTAGTTTTGTTCAGTTTTATTAAACTATATTTGTGCAGCTTATTTTGCTTTTAATATGTATTTGGTTTTGAATAGACTTTTTTAATTGATTAATAGCAACTTTTTATGTTACATTGAAAGCTCAACTGTTAAGCTTTAAGTGATACACTGAAAGCTCATTCGAAATACTTCTTTTGCCAATCTTTCAAGCAGTAAAACTAACGAAATTTGATTTGTTTCGAAACGTGAACTTTGAAAGCTCTCTTACTTTAAGCAAAAACTGCTTAAAAATAAGCTTGACTTCATTCTCGGCTGGGCGGAGCCACTCGCAAGCTGTATTTATTGAGCCCGAAGTCTAGTTCCTTATATAGTTGAGTTGCTTGAGCATCTATTCTGAATTCTAAACTTTCTAGTTTGTCTACCTTAATTTAAGGAAAAGCCGCTTGAGTTTAGTCTGAAATGCGCTAAGTTGGGTTATTAAGCACTCAACAGCTTAAGAAATGCTAAATGCAAAATTTGCCCGAATTGCTCTTAAGGAATTTCACAAATGAAAAATGTGGCTTTTTTTGAGTAGTTAAATGCAGCTAAAAATGACTTCTAATCAAGTTAAAGCTTCAGGAATGTGAGTTATCGGTGTATTTCTATATATTTTTCTATGCCTACGCTCTTGATTTTTGGCTTCGATGGGATTTGATCCCCAAACTTCGTCGCTGCACACGCGTCTAAATCCTATATAAAAACAAATATTCAATCTGGAAAGCTTTAAACTTAAAAAAGATCGGAGGAAATTGCCTAAAAACTTAACAGATATGCTGCCTGCTAATCGCCACCTCTCCAATAAATATATATTTAAATCTGTCTTCTTCTTCTTCTTCTGGAACTTACTTGCACTGCGCACCGAGGATTCGCGACTGGAGGTTTCCTCGCGTGCCATAATTGCGGCTATTGAGAAATCCGTTGCGGAGCCGGCGGCACTTTTGCTGCTCGCAGTCGTTGTCGTTGTTGTTGTTGCCGTTGCCGTGGCTCCATTATTGTTGTTGTTGTTGTTGTTTGTGGAAGCAACGGGCGGTAAAACGCCATTGCATAGATACGGATGCGAGCCGACGAGCATTTTTTGGCAGAGCAATTAGCTTTTGAGAGTGTTAGAGTGTATCTCAGATATTGTATCTGCTGGATATTGTATCTTTCTTTTAATTCTTCACTTGTTTGCACTTGTCAATTTTGCATCATTTTTGTGGCACTTTGTATTTGTTTTACATGTGTGTAACTGTAACTGTAACTGTAAATGCAACACTCGCACGCATAAAGACTCACACACGCACACCTGAAGTGTATTTCACGCGAGTTGTGTGTGTGTGTTTGTGTATGGAAAATGCAGCGCAACGCGAATTGAGTGTGTGCGCTACGTAAGACAGGCGACGACGAACTGAATTGTGTGTTGGAAATTGTGAGGGAACGTGTTGTGGCTTTAACAGCAGCAGCAGCAGCAGTCAGGCAGCCAGCAGCAGCAGCAGCGACGAATGGCAGCGGGAAACCAGTTTTCCAACTAGCCGGCATGCAGTGCGAGCGAGCTAGCACATGCCCTGCACGGCAACATCATGCGCACAAGTGCGAGCAGCAACAGCAGACGCAGCGAATTCAGCTGGAAGACCAAAAAAACATATTTCAACTCATATTTGCAATTGGGAAGAACAGAGCTGAGCTGAGGCAGGGGGCCTGTGGTGTGTGCGCAAGAGCGTGACAGCCATTAAGCGTGTGTATTGTATGCCGCCTGTCATTGCACTCGCACGCATGCGCTGCCGCTAACTGAGTGCCTGAGTGGGAGTGCGCTGTGCGCTGCGTGTTGACGGCCACTCAGCGGCCGCAGCGATGAGCTGAGAGACGTTTGCTGCTGCGACGTCGACGTCGTCGTCGTCGTCGTCGTCGTCATAACTCATTTACAATTAAAAATGTCGGCGCTTTATCGCTCGCTCTCGCTCTGGCACATGCTCTGGCATTTATGAAGTGTAAACGTTTTGCTTGCGGTTTTTCATGTTTCCCTTTTGTTGTTGTTTTTCTTTTTGTTATTTTTTGGATTTTACACAACTTTTCGCCGTTGTCTCGTCTCTTGTTATCTCGGCCAGGCTGTTGTCGCTGCCGTTGAGTGCCTTTGCGTTTCACACAATTCCAACACGTTCCGCTGCGCTGTTGAGTGAGTTTTTTTCTACTTGTTTCTACTCTGTTATTTTTTTTTGTCTTGTGCTCACATATTCGCTTGTTTTTTATGCCTTTGAGCGCCTGTTTTGGCTAATTAGCAACAGTTGCATTCGCACGCGCCAAGGACCTCTTTTTTTCAAGGTTATTCATTTTTTTTATGTTTAACTGCAACTTGTTGAAATCCTTTGTTTAATGCTGGCCTAAAAAATATTTTTAAAAATATTTTATGCTCCTCACATTTTACAGAATTTTGTTGTCTCAAAAGTTGCGTTAAACTGGAAGTAAATATTAAAATATTATTAGAAAATATCATAATATGCATAATAATATTTTATTGGATTATCGATTAGTTTATCATTAAACTCGTAAAAACATTTGGGAGTCAAATTAAAATTTTTGGCTTCTTGAAGTTATCTTGGTTTTCTATAAATAAATATGATATGTAAGCTTTATTTATTGAGCTTCGGTTGATGATTTTCCTGTTTTAGAAATATATTGAATATGCCTATATATTACTTAAAGTTGTAATTTTTACTTATTTTTAACGTTTATCCTTGGAGCTTATAAGTTTGGTGGTAATATAACTAGAAAGATTTTAGAACATTATTTTAGCTTATTTTTTTCAAAATTCACTCTTAGACTTTTTAATGAAATGAATTCCTAGATGAATATTTGTAACTAATATTCCTTTATTAAAATTATATTTTTTAATAATATTACTTAACTAATGAATTAAGTCTTGCACTTATTTAAGACAGACTTTCGCTCGATAGATAATTAATTACGTATATTTAGAATAAGTCTCGTTTCCGTATTATATGTATTTATATGTATACATATTCATAAATATTTTCAATATTTAACCAAATTTAAAAAAATATTTTATATTTTTTATAAATAGATCTAAAATATATAATTTGTATATATAATTTGTATATAATATATAAAGTATATATAAAATATAATTTAAATTAAAAAAAAATTAATAATAATAATAAGATAACTATTTAAATATTATGAATATCTTAGAGTGAACAAGTTTTCAAGTTAAATTTCCAATGAAATATTTAGATAATGCTTTATAATTAAACTAGGTTGTTATGACTATGTGGCAAATATTATTATTTAAAGAATTTTAGAAGTCAATAAAAACATTCAATAATTTATTTCTGGAAAGTTTAAAATGCCGGCCTCGACTCAACCCTTCAAAATACGTGCTAGTATTTGAAAGTTTTTCCATAGAGCATATAATAAACATGATTAAATGCACAAGTTTGAAAATAACTATTACAAAACCTCACAAAACTGGCGCATTTCAATGGAAATGTGTCGTTTTTCCTCTTATTTTATTTTCGCTTTGCCTCTAATTACAAGCATTTTTTTTTGTTTAGCTAAATGCTGATTGCGGCACATTAACAATTGCTGCGTTTTCAGGTATTGCAAAACAAATAATGCACGGTTGTGGGTAAATATGGAGTGTGCTTTGAATATGGCTGCAAAAAAAAAGGCAACCACCTGAAAAAGAGAGAAAAAAAACGTCAACTAACCGGACATGAAACACATGCAAATATTAGAGTAACGCCCAATTCGTTGGCCCTCAGTCATTTTGTGTAATTACGCAACGCGGTTTCTTAGTTTTTTATTAACCGTAACCCTCCTCCTCCGAAACCCCCTCCTCCGCATACCACTCGAATATAGTTCGCAATGTCAGCAAATTGCATGTAAATGCACGGCTCGAGTCAAGAAACAAGTCAAGACCTTTGTCATTGCCAATTAACCCAGCTTGAGGTGTTAGAAAAGTGAAAATGCAAGCGGCAAAAAAGTCTTTTTCCAGCTCTTGACAGTTCGTCGTCCGTTTTCATTAGATTTTGTCCTGGCGCGGCAATGCCAATTAGCAGCGGTAACAGTCGCTGCTAAAAGTCTGCCTCGACTAACAAGCGCTCTAATCCCGCTTATGCCTAGGCCCTCTTCATTGTCTTCTTCTTCATCTCCTCTCCTCCTGCTTTTCTTTGTAATTTGACACTTTTATGCGCTAACAAAACACTCACCAGAGATTTAACATTCGGTAGGCAGTCGAGGGTTGTCACACGCATATATGGGAAATAAAACTAACATTTGAAAAGCAACATGCAGGAGAGTTCTAGTTGGGTGTGCTCGACTAGCAGATACCCTGAACTCAGTTTCGAGCTGTAGTTACAAACTCACATTATGCAGGGCCAGTGCTTCTTCTTCCCTTTGCGACCCCACCATATATCCTGGAAAGGGGAGATATATCGATACTATCGTTATTCAGAATATTAAACAAAAATTAATATCAATCGATATTCTGGAAATGGAAGAAAATCGATATAGATATATATTCAGGGAGTGCGATAAAGCGATATTAATCGATATCACAAAATGTGAGAATATTTTATATATATCAATAATTTAGAAATGGGAGCAATCGATATATATCGATATTCTGGAAATGAGATAAATTGACAAATATATATATATCGATATATATCGATAATGTGGAAATGTGAGAAATGCTTATCTTTAATGTAGAAATGGGAGAAAATCGATTTGTATTATTATTTTGTAGATTGGAGAAAATCATTTTAATTCGATATTCTGGAAATGGAAGAAAATCGATATTTATCGACGTTTGGCAAATTTAATAAACCTGCTTTACATATGATATGAAAATAAATAAACTAAAAATACGGAAACTTTATTTATACTACAAAAACAGCCCTCGCATATGGCGACCGAGTCTGAGGGCGTGAGAAAGGCGCGGCGCATTTGGGCAGAGGCTGCACGCTGCAAAGTGGGCATGTCAGGGCTGTCAATGTGACACTTTCACCAAGGCAAACGTCAAATGGCAAACGTCGTGTGTGTTCGCGCCTTACTAGCTTCCTTTGCCCAGGATGTGCCACAGATTTTGTGTGTGTGTGTGTGCGAGTGTGTGTGCCTCACAGCGGTGGCAAGCGCGTGTGTCACCAAAATGTCAAAATGTCACTCGGGGAAAGAAAAACACAAGTTGTGAAAACAAAAGCAGCAGCCGCCTAATTTATAGTTGCTGCAACGAGATTTTTGGGAACCAGTTCAAGAACCCGGCCGATTGCCACTTGGCGCACTTGTAAAAATAAACATAATAAACAGAAATGAAACGAAAAAAATTTCGCTTGTTAATTAGTGTTGTAAACTGTCGCTTTGACCTTCTCCGTGTTGTAAACCCCCTCAAGTGTTTCTTTTTTTCTTGCCGCCCAATTGCTCATTAATATTTTTTAACGAGCTCGAGCTGTGTTTTCTTCGTTTCTCTCTTTGAGCTGGCGAAATTGAACACTTTCACTTTGTGCAAATGCCGCCAGGATCTCGTGCATTCGTCCTGGTCCAGCGAGTGCGTGTAAAAACAATGCGACATCTTTGGGTCATTCATAAACAATTTTCGCCTCTACTTCAACTTCAACTCGGGGCCACCAACGTGGCCGGCATTTGTGATTGATGATGAGTGCATTTGCCTCTTCTTAACTAATGCCTAATGGTTAAATGCATCTCCAAAAACTATTAAAGATTGGGCGCATCTTGAATCGGGCATTTCTTAAGCTCAATCCCATATGCATATCCCATTTCTCTGGCACTTCCGCTGTGATTTGAAATTCTCGACTTTATCATTGCATTCGAATACTTGACTTTCCCCTTTTGAATCGATGCCAGGCACTTCGAGGAGGCACGTGTTCATCCGGCAGCACTTTATGCCACTTGCCTCAATCTGTTTTGCCGGAAACGGTTAGAAGTTTATTTATAACATGCAATTAACATTTGCTTTCGATTGTATTCGAAACTCTCCATTAAGTTTTGCATCTGCACGGGGATTCGAACCCTTTACTTTGTGCTCAGTCTGCCCACGCTTAGATACGTTAAATAAATATTTAGAAATATTTAAATGGATATAAATTTGTTTTAAACTTTTTGTAAGTACAATATATATTTTTATGTTAATTTCACAGCTTTTTGAATATATAATCCATGATAAATCCAGATAACTGAGGTATCTATAATGTTATTTCTATCTTAAATATAAAATTGATTGATTGACTAGTTGATTGACTAATTATTTGATTGATTGACCGATTGATTGACTAACTGACTGAATGACTAATTACTATAAAAGCAATCATAAGAGCTGATTGATTTACTGATTGATTAATTGTCTGACTGACTGATGTACAGGGAATCATAAGAGCTGATAGATTGACTGACTGATTGACTGATGTGCAAGCAGTAATAAGAGCT